CTAGGTTTAAGAGGGAAAAGTCCCACCTCCACTAACACAAAATTACATACAAAATTCCCCTTTCCAGCACGAAAGGTTCCTGGTTTCTCTCTGCAAAAGGCGGTCAGGCTGCTGGATAATTAACAGTCCTGACTTAGGCAACTCATGAAAGCAACAGGTTTAGCATCTGAGACACACAATCATTAGCTGAAGCAAACCAGGGCGCGACCCGGAGCAGGATTCTGCGGGCCACTGCTGCCCCCCAGTCCCGCTGGGCAGGAACCGACGCGCGGGCCAGAAGACAAGATCCAGTCACAGAGCGGCCGCAGTACACAAACAGGCTCTTTTCCGCATCTCAAAAGAAAAAATAAAGAAAAAATTCAGGTCACCCCTCTCCTTAGCACGTTTAAAACTGCCGCTCAATTCCACATGGTGATTCTTGCTTATTGGGTCTAAAATAGTTTAAACGGACCTTCCCTTCTGGGGGGTGGGGGGTGGGGGTGGAGAGAAGGGCGCAAAAGACGAAGGAAGAAAAAAAGCCAACTCTCCCCCCCCTCCCCCCCAGCGCCAGGCACTTGCTCCCTGAGCCTCGGAGTGGAGAGTGAAGTGGTGTGTGCGAGGCTCGGCAAGTTTTTGGGGGGGCCGTCCAAGGTCTAGTCCAGCCCCCTCTGCCGAGGAGGACGTGCTCTGAAACTCAACCGATTTCCCCACTGCTTTTGTTACTGATGAACTGAAGCCCTATTGTTCATCCATTGCCACGGTCTTTTTCAGTCCCCACACTACGTCCTGCGTTGCCAGAGATAATGAATTTGCACCCACACCTCTCACAGTCCCCTCCTGACAGACGGAACAAATTAGAACTGTCTCGTCTGAAGGAGGGCAATGGCTACATTTTCCTATTGTAGAACGCAAAGCACTCATTTCTTTGGAAACTTCTTTCGCCTTTTCTACCTTTTATTTTCTTCTCCCTCTTTTTCTTTTTTCCTCCAGTTTTTCTCTCTTGATTCCTTTAGTCTCTCTCTCTCTCTCTCTCTCTCTCTCTCTCTCTCTCTCTCTCTCCCTCCCTCTCCCTCTCTCTCTCTTTCTCTCCCTCTCTCTCTCAATAGCCCTGTCTTGTTTTTCCAATGCACCATTTTGTGAAACTTGTGGATCTTTTCTACCTTCCTTCCTTCCTTCTTTCCTCTATTTCTTTTTAAAGGTCTTCTTTTGGTATTTTATTTACAAACTTGGAGAATGACCTTTTGACTTGCAGACTTTTTTTTTTTTTTAAGAAAGGTCTTTTGGTTCAAGTCCCCTTTACTCACGCTTCCCCTTCTTTTTGTTGTGGTCATTAAATGTGTTTTGCTAATGGCAAGCAATACATTATAAGGATTTTTTACTCTTTAAACTCCGGAGCTATTCAAAAGGTACCGGGGACGCGCCATGGGGGATTATCTATTTGAGAGGTTAAGAGCGTGTGTGTGTGTGTGTGTGTGTGTGTTGTGTGTGTGTGTGTGTGTGTGTGTGTGTGTGTGTGTGTGTTGCAGGGACAGAGGCAGAGAGCTGCGGGAGGGTGTGAGTGGGGTGTGCAGGGGGAGAAGGGAGAGGATCTTGCGGGGAAGGCGGGCTTCCTGGAACACGGTCGGAGGACTGTGCGGGGTG